GAAAACGTGCTGTATGTTAGCTTGGATGCAAAATACGCAGTTATACTTGTGTGTTAATCGTTTGTACTTATTATTTTTATTTGTGTGTTAATAAAGTTTTGTGCCGTTAAAATGGCTGTTTTATGCAATGCCTACATTTACGATGCGTTTACGGTAGAAATTAAACATATATCCAGAACCTACATGCCCAACAAGAAGATTATGCCAGTGCTGCAATTGCTGGTAACAGTTCTTGAATGAGGTTTTTGGAAAGCCCTTCAGAAGATTTTCCATTTTTGCCTGAACTTTTTGCTGAGGTAAAATGGGTTCTCTTTAAGCAAGATTTAACTTTAGAAAATAAGAAAAAGTCGCTTGGAGCCAAATCAGGTGAATAAGAAGGATGCCCCATCACAGAAATGTTTTTGCTAGTCAGAAACTGTTTGACAGATAGAGCCGTGTGAGTGGATGCATTGTTCTGGTGCAACAGCCATTCATCACTCCACAACTGTGGCCTTTTTTTTGCCTAATTCTTTCACGAAATCAGTCTGACCACTGGTAACCCGTTCAATCATGAATCTTCACTGTTCCTTTTGCTGTTCATTCGACATTTTTCTGGCAGAATGCAGTTGCACGTGTTCACTCAATGACGCAGTACTTCCCACTGGTGTTGTCGGTTAAGTCAAAACTGGCCGCATAAGATAAGCCACGTGCGACTCTTCGACACCTTAACTGCAGCTCAGGAGCTACTTATGGCCCTTTAATGGATGCAAAATAAGACATCTGTCTACTTGTCTGTCTGTGTCAGCCTTTAAAACGCAATTTGCTTGCAACAATTAATAGTTTAATTTTCAAAATATAATTGGATTTTAAAAATATAATTCATACAATGGCACTTTTCTTTATTAATAACAAATTTAATTTTTAAATTATGTTATGTGTGTAATCATTTAATTAATATTGCCAGAGTTAAAAACAAAATTTGCAAATAATTCTGGCAATTAGTATCATGGCCATGTTACTTTTGGAGCAGATAATGGCCATAAGAATAGCACAAAGTAAATACTATACAAACATGAAGGTACTTAAAAAAAAAATGCTGTCTAATATTTTTCTCTCGCATTAATTTTATTTCAGATAGTTTTCTGCTTACATTCCTCCTGTGCAATCCCTTTTGTTCCACAACAGTTCTGGAAAATATGCTCTTCCTTTTAGGGTACTACACTTATTCAGTTTTTGAATGGCTTGAGTAACTACTCTTTCAAAGAGGAAAATCACTTCCACACAGGGGCTCTTTCAGTTTGAGGAAGAATATGCAATCTGAGGATTTTATGATAGGTGAAGTAAACCTTCCTGTTTGTATTTGGTTAGGAGACTTATCTTAACTTCCAAACATATGAATGTCTTTCAAAATTAATTCCTTATCCATAAGCATGTTAAGTCATTTTTATGCAAATTTTCCATTCACTCACTGTAATATGGTAGTTAACCCTTTTTCTGCATGAAACTCTTATCTTTCGAAATAATTCCTCGATAATCCTAGACAAAGAGCATTATTTATTTCCCCAGTGTTTAAACATCTTTGGGTATTTTTTGGGGGATGGCAAGAAGAATGGATTTCTCCACTGAATTGGCAATAATTTAAATTCTAGTTAAAAATCTAAAATTGCATTTTGTTAGTTGCCATTATTTGAGATATAAATCCTTCACCTTTATTGTAGGGTACTGCCTGCATAGAAGTTTTAACTCAGTGTTTTACAGACCATACTAGACTGATAAGCAAATTACTGCTTCAGGCTGAAATCAGGTGGCAGCCTTTTTATTGAACTCTTTTAACTTAAAAGAAGGCAGTACTTGTGTTACAAATGAACTTCCACTCCTTGTGGGCCTTTAAAGTAACATAACAGGAAATTAAATTGAATTTAGGTAATGGAGTTTGTGCATAGAATAGATCACTTAATCTGGCTTAAGTAATTAATGGTGCATATTTAATTGTCAGTTAGCAAGATAGCCAAAGCCGGGGAAAAAATGTACCAGAGGTAGCGATAGTACATAACTACAAGACAGAGGTTGCCAGAAGCTGTAACTCTAAACATTCAAACCCACAACTTAAATACTCAACAATTAATTTGCATTCTGGTGGGGACTATGGAAAAAAAAAAATAAAGTGAAGGTTCATATCAAAATGACTGGTTAATTAACATAAAATGCTACAGTATCATCCATTATTCATTTCAATAATAATGTTGCATAAAGCAATAAGGACCCACCAGCGGTGAAGTCGCTGAACATTGGTAGTTCATTCTGAGGTTCGAATCCCGCGAACTGGCTGGCTGCATGGGCGTTTTTGTGGTTTTCCCCATGTGTAATGTGTATACAAGTCAGTTTCCCTTAGAAAGTCCTCCACGAAGGCATATCTTCCCTTAGACAGCCCTAGTGTGCTTTGTCATAATTAAATAAACCAAACCAAACCAAACCATAAAGCAATAAGAGATCAACTGACTCAAACTTCTCTCTTCTCAAAGTTTTAAAATACAGCACACTGATGCTGGTGAAATCGCATCAGCTTGGTATATATCTTATGATGGGTTGCTTGGAGAGCTTCTTTGTATCAAGCTCGACACAAATATCACGCTAAATTAGAGCATGCCTTTAGCCTTTTTGTCGCCTTGTATTTATGAAACTTTTCTACCCTTTGTTCTGCTGCTCAGTGCAGCTGCAAATGTTGCCTGGGCTCTGGTGCTACCATATTTTTGGTCATCTTCTTTAATCTGTTGATATTTTTGTTCTTCCACTTTTCAAACATCGTACACGTCTAACATGTCTTTCACAAAAGTTCAGTAACTCAAAGGAAAGTCATACTACCATTCACTGCCTGATCACTAGAAATTTCAAGCAGTGTAATGTAAAATTCTGTTGGAGTTTAACAATGTGAATTTTCAATTTTGAAGGTTGATTTTTTATTTTCTAAAGTCTCAATACTCACATATGCTTACAGACTCTCTTTTAAATGCCATTTCAGATTTATTTTCTGTACAAAAGTTGTGTAACCATCAGACTAAGGGTTAAATAAAAAAAAATTAAATAAAAGAGATTTATTTTAAACTTTCTTCTGAGTTGGAGTCATTTTGCATTAAAGATAAGATAGTAAGTCATTTGACTGCCTATACGAATTCAGCCAGCTAACAGATAAAATAGGATTGATCTATTCAAAATTGTGGCAAGATCTCAGAAACTAAACTATCATGTAAATGTCTGGCATGTAACAAAGAGCAATCATATCAAACATCTGTGCAAGTTAATAAGAAATTCAGACAGTTAAACTTTCATATTATATCTGTATTTGCGAAACAAATTCATTATAATAATCATAGGTGTGTTTTCCTTTTGTATCATTAGTTTTGTTTTCTCTGTATTTAAAAATCAGCTCAAAATTAAACAACCTGACTGGAGTTTGACTTTAAGTTGTCCGAACTGTAGATAGTCCGCCTGATGCAACGTTCGTATATCGTGGCGTGAATTGCTAGATTTAGTAGTAACAGGTTATTTATGTCCAGAATTATCAGGATTATTTGAAAGATAATTTTGAGAATTTTCAATGATGTGAAGTGTATTGATTACTTAAAAATTCTGGCAGATTTCGCTGGGTGCAATACTGAAACAGTGTAGTACTTCGAGCCGTCATGGGTGATATCACTGATATTGCAGTCAAGTTCTTTTTGTAATGAATTTTCTATCCTGGGCATCAGGAAAACTACTCATTCCAAAGTTTTGCATTAAAAAATGTTTAATGATTTCATAGGTTAAGATTAAGAAAACTCAAAGAAAGAAACAAAGCTCTAAGTTTAGAAGATTAGAACTTGAAATCATTCTGAAGATTTCCCAGATCTGAGGATTTGAATGCCCCAACCTTAGAAAAAAACAAAATGTCATTTATAATCCAATATGCTTCAAATGGATGAATTCAGTTATTTGAAGTTAAATTTGATCTCAGTATTTTGGTCTTCATATTAATTATGTGTGAAAGCAAAATTATTAACTGCTTAAGCAAAAGCTTATGCAAAAAATGTAAAATAATTTATCTCTTTCCAATAAGAATTTATCTGTAATAAGTGCTATCATGTATCACTTATTTTATTCTTTCTAAGAAAATATTGTATGAGTTAATGGGAAAAATGCTGTATTCATTTTTTTAAATTGAGGATTTCTTCTACATTAAAATGAAAAGTAATTCACATAATTGTAATCACAAACACCAACTCTTATTCTTTCGGGCCCACCAGCGGCCCAGTGGTAAAATTGCTGAGCACTGCTTGTTCCGACCTGGGTTTGATAACGGGCTAGCTACATTGGCATTTTCATGGTTTTTCTCCATGTATAACATGTATATGAGCTAGTTTCCTTTACAATTCCTTTGCGAAGGCATTCCTCCCCTTAGACAGAAAGCCTTAGTGTGCTTTGCCATAATCAACCAAACCATATTCTTCTGATTCAGTTTACTTCTTCTAAAACAAATGAATGGAAGAAAGGAAACATAAGAAAATTTTCTGCCTGATAGAAGAATGTTCAGCTGCATAAAGAAATAGCTCCAAATTTATATTTTGTTGGCACATACTTTTCTGAGCGCAAAGCAAAAGAGATACAAAATTCTTTTGTTTATGCAACCAAGTTAATTACATAAGAAATGAAAAATTCTCATTAATTTACTTCAAAAGTTTCTTTCTATTCAAAACTTATCTCATTATCTTTGAAATGATATCAATAGGGATTTACGGCTGTTGCAAAATTCAGCTGAGGCTTACAAACTTTCCTGAAATCCACCATGAGGTTCCTATCTTCATTAAGTTTGGCCACTTCTGATATATAATGCAACATCATGCAGGGAACATAATGCAACATCATCTTTTATTATAAAGATATTACATTATGGGCACATTACGGATCATTATGTGATGAAATTGATGTGACTTGTGAAATTTTATTATAAAGATATTTTATTAATATTCTATGTATGGATTTTTCAGGCCTGAAATAAAGTTAATTCCCAATGAAGATGGAATTGATTTAGAACTGGATGATGTAAGATTGCACCCAAATATTGAAAAAATTTTGACAGATGAGCAGTGGGTAGATGATGCTACGTAAGTATTATAAACACCTTTTTATATATGTAGGTATCTTAAATTTTACCAGATTAATGAAATATAAATGAAAATTACTTTTTTTCATCAAAAAAGATATTTTTTATAGTTGAAAAAGTCATAAAAGTTATTATTGCTTTCTTTACTAAATTGTTAAATTTAAGGCATTCATATATTAAGTAATTTTAAGTACTTTTTATTGGGACTGAGATTGTAAGAATGTTCTTAAATTCTCTGAATCTATAAAATGAAAAGGATTTGCTTAATTTAACTATGCACTAAAACTAAATATCTAATATTCATTCTGCAGTTTATTATTACATTTAATATACTAATAGTTGTTCCAACAAAATCATTAAATGCTGATAATTTTGTCTCATATTTTAAGTATGATAAAATGATGATAATCTAATATGGTAAAGTGAATAAACTAAGTTGGCAGTGCATTGTTCTTATAATTCATCTAATAGATAATATAAAATGCATATTTTAATTTTTTTCGTGGCTTAAATATTATAACATTTAGCTTCCAACAAAGAAACTGCATGGAGTAAAATGAATAAAATTATGTATTGCTTTTCAAATCAATTTCTTTGGTAATCTCATAGTGACAGCATATTATTAGTTTAATCAGCTGTTATAATATTATTAACTTATTTTTTATGTTTATCATATAAAAATTAGTACATTTTTGTATTTAGTTTTTGTATTAGTAATGTTTTAAGTGAAATTTTTTGAGAATTTTTAAACTATTACATTTTAGTATGTTATGTCTTACTACTGTGTATTTATCAACTGAGCAATTAGGCAGGAATTGCCACTGTGTAAAGCATACAATCTTTAATTTTTTATCTGTGTGATTTGAAAAGTTGCAACTTTGAGAGGGAAATGAAACGATATTTAATTTTTCTTTCAGATTTTGGTTATGTTATTATTTGTGAATATTTTTTTTGTAAATTCAGTGTAATATTAAAACAATAGCATGTACTTCTTGACACAAAAAAAATTCCTTTCCAAAGTATTATTTTAATATAAAACAGGTTTTTGATGGTATTTTTAAAATCTGTAGCGTTGATATTGTTTTCATTGCATTACTAAAAGTTCTGTTTGCCTAACCAATTTGTCTCTCAACTGCCACTATGTTAATATTATTTCATTTTGAGCATGTTTTTGTAATATTTAAAATTTTTAATTAAATATACTTTTTGTTTCAAATCAGTTGCAGATTTAAAAAAAAAGGGGGGGAAAGAAAGAAAAGTGGTACTTATGTATTATCTCAACCACCTTAATAGAAGTCACCAAATTTTTAGAATGTGCCAAACTGTGGCAATCATGCGAATAAAATTCTTCGGTCAAGGTACATCACTTTTTTTTATATGTTTGTGTACTTCATTATTTAACAATTCTTGGACTTTTTTCAAGGTTGGGTATAATGCCAAACTTATGCAGCTCTCTCTCTCTCTCTCTTTTTTTTTTTTTTTTCCTTTGCGTAAGCAGATTGCTGTGTGGATAGGAAAAATAAGATTTTATTGTATTTGGGGCTATAGAACTATCAGTAACAATATTTTTTTTTTTTTTTTTTTTCTCCCCACTGTGATTTTATCCATAGATATTGGAATTTCGACCATTATTGTGATGAAGGAAAGCATTTGCAAGCAATTTTCATCAAATTTTCTTGACAATTATCTTCCAGTTTCATCTTTGCCGCATCCTTTTAAATGGAATCCTGTACCTTGCTATTCTTGAAGAGTACAAATTAATTTTTTTACAGATGGAAGTAAGATGAATGAAAAGATAAGCTTTGCTTTTTTGTTGCAAGAAAGAGACTTCAAACAGTACAGAATTAGTGATAAGTGTTCTGATTTGAAGGCTGAGTTCCTATGTTTAAACCTTACTGTGAAATGGATTCAGAATTCTTGTTGTGGTTTTAGATCAATGTGCATTTTAATATGTAGTGATTCTCTTTCTTTGCTAAAAGTATTACAAAAAGTTAGTGTCTTCAGAAACTTGCTGTTGAAATTCTAATTATTATTAATGCCTTGTAAGTTCTTGATATTGACCTTCGTTTTGCTTGTGTTCATGGGCACTGTGAAAATTTTGGAAATAAGCGGGCTGATGCTCTAGTAAAGCTAGCCAAGAAACTTCACATTGATTTAGATCTCTGTGTTTGTGTTTCTCTCACTGGAAGCCCTTTTATAGAAATGATGCTGTCTGTAGTTGGAGCAGAGAATGTTTGGCTTCACCAAAAGCTTAATGAACCAAAAGGTTTCCCCCCTACAGTTTTTAACAGAATAAAAGTTGATCAGTTTTCCACAAATTTTAAAGTAACTCAATTTTTTAATGGACATGGCAATTTTAAGAGCTATTGAAAATATTTTGGACTTACTTTAAGTGCTTTGTGCAGCTGCAGTAGCAGCAATGAAGATGTTAAGTAAATTCTTCTTGAGTACATTCATCATGTTCAGCAGAGGAATATATTTCAGGCAACTTTGAAAAACCTGTCTGTATCCTGCCCACCAAATTTTTCTGAACTTTTTGGGATTAAAGAGACAATGTCTGCTTTTTAGAATTTCATTCTCAATTTATATTATTAAATTCTCACTATTTTCTTATTTTTTCTTTTACTTATTGTTATTTTTTATAAATAATTTTTCCCATTTGCAGTGCTATTGTACATTTGTTTATTTATTTTGTTAGTGCTATAACTTACTTGTTTATACTTTTTATAAACAAACAAATAATAATATAACAAAGTTTTGTTTTTACAACAAAGTTTAATGCTTTTTATAATAGATGAACATGTTTAGAGGAAACTGAATTATATGTGCCTTCATTTTTATTTAATTTAAATAATTTTTCATTTGTTTTTACACACGGTATCTAATGTACCTTACAGTACATCTATAATTATTTACAGGCAAAAACAAGTATTCAGTTAATAAGAAGTAATTCTTAGTTGAACTTTAAAATTCCCAGTCTTAGATAAAAATTATAAATGTCTGTTTTTCCACAATTCTATACTAATAAATTCATGGTAATGTTTTTTTATAAATCAGTGTTTTAATCAAAGTACAGGACTGTAAAGAAAAATGTATCCTTATTATGACTGAAAATACTCCATTCTGTAGCTTTTATTTATTTTATTAATAGGCTTTGGCTTATTTCAAAATAAAAAATACTTATTAATTTATTTAAATTTGATACAGTTATTTATAATTAATGCAGTTTTAATGGAAAAGCAAATTTACCATGCGATTTGAAGTATAGTACACTTAAAATTTGTACTAGTTTAACTTTTTACAGAATTGTTCTCTTAAATTCGTTTATCAAAAAATTTTATAAATTACTTGTCATCCAAAATGCAACACCATGAATAAAGCATCCAAACAGCATGAAACTTGCATTTTGTGTATACTCTGATGGCATATGCAAATGATTTCATTGCAGTATACACAAGATGCAAAATGTTTTTGCCACATGTGCACATCATGGGCAACTGCAGCACACCTTGCAGTCCATATATAAAGGAAGAAAAGATTGCCGTTTTGAGTAACATGAATTGTTCTCGTGAGAAATTTTTTGAGTGTCTAGCTTCAGTATGCCTCAGTAGAAAACTACAAGCATCATTCAAGCATGTTTCTGAGTTTGAACAAAGCAGAATGGTTGCATACAGCGATTGTGGATTATTCTTCCGGGAAATCGGAAATCGTGTCAGACATAGCTGAGCAACAGTCACGTGAATATGGAATCGATGGATGCAGGAAGAAATGATTGACAGACAGAATCAGATGACACTTTATCAGTGCCTCTTCACACTGTTCCATATGAAGACAGGCATATTGTGCAGATCGCATTGATGGACCACACTGCCACTTCCGCACCATATCACAGCGAGTGAGTCTGTAACACAGCAATCAGTGTCTGCATAAACAATTTGATGTCATTTACCAGTGAGCTGTCCTTTAGGTGTCCATTGATTCACTTGCCTTTAAATTTATTATTTGCATCATCTTCATCAGATTCAATAAAATTATGTAATATACTTTATCAAATAATATAGCATCTCTCTCTTCTTGAATCAAAATTTTATGTTATCTAATCATTTTGCTACCTCACATCAAAAGAGTCATTCTAAGATGTCTTGACTAGTAACTAAACTAAATCAACTAGACAAAAAGATCATGCACTGAAGAAGCACTTGTGTAACAAAAATGGGAGATAATCTCCATTCAGATAAGAGTGACTGATAACTCGTTAGCAAATCCAGAAATCAAGACATGCATTAATATAAGAAATGAAGCATTAGGCTCAGGCACTAATCACTGAAACGTTGAACCAGTGCTTGCTTGCATTTGAGCATTTCCTGTTACAAATGAATTAAAAATCTTATGTTGCATGGAATGGCAGTGCTTATCAAACCTGATGCCTCTTGATATTAAACTGCAGTATTTTGGATGATGATTATTTCCTTTCTCTTCCTAAGTTTAATTTTCAATTCATAATTATTAAGTAGTAAGGTATTTTTTATGCATTTTAGTTAATATTCATTCAGTGCCAATGAAAATACTTTCTAATTGTATTTTTATCATGTTTTTATTGTGCACCCAAAAATAGAACTTTTATTGCATGTATTTTGTAATTTAGAAAGAGTTACTTCTAAAATATTACTCCTACTATTCAAATTCATATTAATTATGAGAAAATACTCTTTTTACCCCCACAATAGTTTGTTTCCTGTTCAGCTGCTAATTATTTTATAGTAAATTGTTTCAAAATTAAATTGCAATAAATGTTAATGTAAAAAAATTGCTTTTTTATAAATATTTATTTATTTTTTAATTGCTCCTTCTATAAATCTTTACTTGCTAACTTAAAATTTAGCCTTTTGTAAATTATTCCATATAAAATAATATTTCTTATTAAATTTCAGTGGTCTTATTCCACATTGTTTAGCTATTTTGAAAAAATGTCATCACTTAACTGAAAGACTGGTTGCTATGATGATGACACATGTTTCACAACAATCACCTGAAGATCTTGGAGAAATAATAGAAGTGGCTAAAAAAATCAGCCCTCGTGTTGATGATGTTGTTAGAGCCATGTATCCACCCTTAGACCCACGATTATTAGAAGCAAGGTATATTTATAAAATTGTAATTTGTGTTCAAACATTCAGGTTCATATTTTGATACAAGATGTATCAAAATATGAATACATAGTTTTTATATTCAGTGAATAAAAAAATGTGAACCTTATATTCTTAATTGCCTTTTTAATTTGATTTTATTTCAACTTTCTTTCCTAGAAATAGTAAGACACTTAAAATAAATATTTTCTTAAGTTGCATTATTCCAGAATTAATGGATATCATATACCTGTATCACACCAATGACTAAACTTAGCAAAAGTGAAGGTAAAATCATTTATCTAAGAGTATTTGAGCCAAAGCTTTCATGAACCACTAATAGTAAAGGAGTATTATGCTTCATCTATTTAGAAATAAAGTAATTTAACCATTTTTTAGCTTATCGCAGTAATATAATCTTCCTTCTTTAATACTTACCAGTTTTCTAATAAACATATAGTAAACCAGCTATAAAAATTGAAATAAGTGCCTGCTTGGCTGTGGATAGAAACACAATACCTGCTCAGAGGAGGTATTCAGGAATTGTTCTCTGTATGTCCTTTGAATAGCTGATTCATTTTAGCCACAGCCTCATAGGTAAAATATACGTTTGAGTCAATGTTCATTTAGTGATGCTTGCTATTTAAAATTCACACAGGAAATGATGATTTATGCGAGAGAATACTTTTTACATAGTGCTCAAATGACCATATACATCCTATTACAAAATATTGTTATTTCTGTCCCTTCTATCTGCTTTTACATTTTTTCCATATATTGTTTAATCATCCTAAGATTGAAACGTATATATTAATTATATATTATCTATCATTAAATATATTATAAATACTGTTAGCTATTCCTTACAACTGCATATTGTTCATCATCTGGTTGCTTCTATATTTAGGTGCACTGCTCTTATCTTATCTGTTAATCATATGGCTCTCATAACCCGATCTATGTGTCACTTGAGAACAAGTTCAAATTGGATTGAAGCAGCATTGACAGATATGGAAGAAAATCTTTTGGTTAGTTTATTTCTTCTTAAAAGCACATAGCACATATATATTTGTTCCAAATTTATGAACATTTTAATAGCAGTTTCAATAAACTCAGATTTATGGAGTTGTTAAGTTATGGTGACGAGTTATGTGTGAAGGGTTGACATGCTATGTTATTATTTGTATTATTGTTAAAGCATCAGGTAAGTGATTCTTAATCCATTATTATTATTACTAGTTTAGCCACGTATGACTTAGATGTAAAATGACAGATATGGCTGTTTCTAATTTCTGTTAGGATAATTCTTCAGTATGATACAAAATGCTGCTGTATAAAGTTGAGAAATCATATTCCTAGGTCATTTACTGTAAATAAATACTCTTGCTGTTTTGAATCCAATATTTCAATGTAATATGCTTGTAGCATAGAAATAGTTTGGGCAAAAAAGTATTATAACATTTAAAATAGGATGAATTATAGATATTTTTTGTAAATATTTCAGATTCAGTCAGTAGACAATTTGGTATAGGAATTAGTTGTCCAACTGCTGGATTATTTTCTTCTAAGTTTCCTTCCCTCCTCCTTTGTGGATGCTCTCCTTGAAAGTGCTCTTTGAGTCTGAAAGTATTATGTAACAATGATTGCTTGTTTATAGTAGTCTGCCAATTAATTAATTAATTGCTTCTTAATTTAGCTTATATGATTCTGTGTTACTTGGTGCTTTCATGTTCGCATTATTATACCAATTGTAAATTGCTTATTCTTCATGTTTCTTTCTGTGAGCGGTTAAAGTATCTAAAATGAGGCTGTTTCTACCTTCTTTGGCTGCCTATTAGATTATGTCAAACTAACACTAGTAAACTAGTGTATTGCTTTATTGTCATATTTGTTTATTGTTGTGTTATTGTCTTATTACAATAGTATATTACTTAATTGTCAATCCATCATTAGCTCCAGTTTTAATACTTCAATCATTGATTGCACTTTAATAATTTCTCTTATTCTATCCAAATGCTTCAGTTTCTTTCCAGCATAGTAATTTTGCATGACAAGGCAACACCTGCATGCCTATATAAAGCAAGTTCTGTCTTCCTCAAACTCCTACATGTTTAGCCGTTCTGACCCCTGATGTTATTAAAAGTGATCATGGACAGTGTCCAAGATAGCCCTTTGATATGTGGAAATTATAAATTCTTCAGCCACTCTGCACTTTTCATTCATCCTTGAATTACTAACTTCTACTAATTGGCAGAACCCCCCCCCATAAACTTTAACATTTGAGAAAAAATTGGAACACATCAGTTCACTTGACACTTTACCAGATACAGCCCTGAAAAAGTCTGCATTCCAGGCAATTTTAAAACAGCTAGTTCTGTCAGTAACATTAAACTAATATGCTAATTTCCTAGTTTTATATTTTTGTTTATATTTATATTTTGTTAGTATGGCATAGATTTTGAATAAAATGTTGTTTCGAGAGTGATCAGACAGTTGTCCTCTTCAGGAGCAAAGAAAATTTTGCTTTCACAAAAACAAAAACTGAAATTTTAACAAAAATATTTTTAATCCCAAAGAAAATGGACCTGTGTCTGACCACCCTCAAAATGTATAAAAGTTTTATTCAAAATTTACACCAAACTAAGGTTGCTTTTTTTTAAATTTAAATGTAACTTAAATTTTAATTATTTATATTATTCTTGTACTATTTGATTATTTTTTTTTGCAGACAAAAATGAAAGATACTGTAAATATTGCAAAGACTGTTTTCAGGAAATTATATACATATACTGTAAGATTTGTCTCCCTTTTCAATTTAGTGAAACTCTAAGCAGAAGTATTGACTAATGGATTTAAAAATAAATGATAACCATGAAGATCTTATTGGCTAAGAACTAAATTTGGTTATCATGTTTCAGAAGAATATATCATTTCTTGGTAGTCTCCACCAGCAGTGAAGCAGTAAAATTGCTGAATACTGGTAGTTAAACATGGTTTCAGAGCCTGAAAAATGGGTCAGCTGAATGGGAGTTTTCATGGTTTTCCCTGCATTTTTCAACAATAAGGACAATTCTCAAGAATAAAGGAAAAATAGTGTCATCAGCAACTACAATTACAAAAACCTTTGCAAGTAGAATAACCTGTTCTATAAATAATACAATAGAGGGGATTGGAAAATGAATTTCTATATGGATTGACGACAAAATTGAATACCATATGCCATTAACCAAGCTATTTATTATAATGGAAAAAGTGAGAATTTTTAATCACATTCATATTGAAACGGGTGACACAACTGAAACTTTCGTTGCAAGTCAAGGATGCTTTAATAGATTTAAACATCGAAATAATCTTCCTAACATACAGATTGCAGGAGAAGCAGCAAGTGGAGATATAAAAGCAGCAGCTGAATTACCAGCGATGTTAAAAACCATAATTGAATGAGCAAACTATTCTCCAGAATTAAGTTTTTAATGTCGATCGATTGGACCTATTTTTGAAACGCCAAAACGTACATTTCTATTCCATGAAGAAAAAAGTGCACCAGGATTTAAAGATGTGAAAGGTCGCTGAACACTTATCCAGGGTGCCAATGCTAATGGAAACTTCAAATTAAAGCCACTTCTTGTTTATCATTCCCAAAACCCAAGAGCGATGACATGAATATCAAAATCAACTTTACCTGTAATTTGGGAATTTGATAAAAATTCATGGATAACTATGAAAATTTTCCAGAATTGGTTCATTGAATATTTTTACCCGTTTCTTAAACGCTATTGCGAAATAAAAAAAACTTGAACCAACGCTACTTTTAATGGATAGTGATCCAGTTCGCCCAACAAATTTATCTGACTTGATAACATGCATTTTATTCGAAATGGTTTTCTTGGTGCCTCACAATCTGTGGCAGACATTTAGACAAATGTTTGGAAAAAAAAGACTGAGATGATAAGCATTCAATAAGAGATTTTGGGGGGCATTGTAATATCATGGATGCTATAGAAAACATAAATCTTTCTTGGAATGAGGTAATGGGAAAATGTTTGAAAGGAGTGTGGAAAAAACATTTGGCCAGATTTAAAAAAGTACAGTGACACTAGAGATTATGAAGAAATTTTCCAAGAAGCAGGAGAAAGTCTTTCTAATGATTAGCCCAAGGAATTAGCAGGTCAAGAAGAACACAAAAATATTAAAAATAGTGATTCTGGAGAAAAGCAGAAAGAACTCTCAATGGTATTTCTAAAAACCACTAGCTTCCATAACAGAATTTATGGACTTATTTATTGAAAACAGAGCCAGGTTTAGATTTGATAAGGCCCTAAGCTATTTGAGATATGGGGCCCTTTATAAGTCTGTTGTAATATAATTTAATACTATTTATACTATATTTAAATTTTTGGGTGGGGACCCTAAGCGATAGCTTGTGTAGGTTATATGTAAATCTGGCCCTGATTGAAAATGATGCAGATTTTGATAAGGCAAGATGAGGTGTCATGGATGCCTTGTCCACTTATCAACAACTTCTTACGGAGTGCAAAAGAAAAATGCTAATGACATTAGACACCGTCTTGATTAAAAAAAAAAAAAAAAAAAAAAAAAAAAAAAAAAAAAAAAAAAAAAAAAAAAAAAAAAACAGAAAATTGGAAATGCAGAAAAATCTGAATGATCTAATCTAAAATATAAATGTTGACTTGAAATTTTATTTATTTTTATATATTCATTTGTTGTTTCAATACTTGTAAGAAATAAGTTTTTATTTTGTATTTGAAAAAAAAAATATTTTTATGAACTTAAATAACAAAATACTCAAATATTTTTTTTATTTTTTTATACCTGTTTTCCCCTAACACCATTATTTGCATGATGAGATGACCTGATTTATCTCATTATGTATAATGCTCTACTTTGATGGAACGTAACCATTGTGTTAAACAGGATTTTACTGTGTTACCAATTTTGTATCAATTATAAGAGTATTAAATATGCAGGTTTTAATTCATGCTATTTTGTTCTTAGGCTATATGAGTATTTTAGTAGACAAGAATGGAGATAGTGTAAAAAATTTCACATAAAATATAATTAAGATGTGAGACTTATTTCAGGAAATACATACATGTCACTTTAAATTAGTGAAATTCCAAGGACAAATATTAACTAATATATTTTAAAATAAATAATAGCCATAACCTATTTTGACATAGGTTCTCATTCCATTGTAAATAGCAGATTGTTTTTTCCCTTAGAAAATTCTCTGTGTGTGCAAAATTTATGTATCTGCCTTTTTCTCATTTAATTCAGCATTTCTCAGACTGTGGTCCTCCTCCATTTCTAAAAAGAGTTCAAATTAACTGCATATACCAACAGTAAACTTTATTACTGATTTCCCTGTTAAGTCTGAGCAGCAAAAGGATTTAAAGCACTATAATTGTGATGCTTCTTTTCAAAAACTAGAAAATTAGACCTTCAATAAATTTCAGGATGAGAATATGTGATGGAATAACTCTTTTAGTTTGAAATCAGTTACATCAAAAATTGGCCAAATTTCATGTCTGCAATCAATTGTAAAGCTACCACTCTTCATAAAATTTTATACTCTGTTGACTAGCGCTAATATACATTTAGAGCGCTAATATACATTTACTGAATAAACATACTTTTAAAAAAAATTAAGTTTTTTTGGCTTCAATTCATTCAGCATTAAGCGTAGTAAGAAGTATAATCTAATAAAACCATACATATAACATATTTCATGCATAATAACAGTCTTTTTAATGATGCTGAAATTATAATGCACTGTTAAAATCAAAATGTAAACTAATCGTAGGGAGGTTTGAGTCCAAATAGCATCATAGTACTTTCTAATAGTAGAAGAATGATGTCATCAAAACATATGTCCAATCAACAAGGAAGGATTTATCCCTGCTTTCATTATGAAGTAGAGTTTGCTTAAATGCCTTGAAAATGGTATAATATATAACAGCTCCAATAGCAGTACTTTGTTTTGAAAACAAGAAAAAGTACATTATTG